ACGCAGCAGTTACAAACAAAGCCAGGACTGGCTTGGCACATCTTCCCACACAATTTATAGTCATCCCAATCCCCTGCTAGCCCCATTGCTAGGTTACATATTACATATTGCAGATTACAGATTACCCACTGTAATCCCCCCTTTTACTCGAATGTCAGGTTCAGCCCAATTCTGTTGTTCTTTGATTGTTGTTTTCTGCAGGTGTGGTTGTTGTCTTCGTTGGGTCTTTGCGCAAAGCCAGGAACCTGATTGCTCTTCCTCGATCAGCGGCTCTCCCCTTTGTCTATAGCGGCCATCTGGCGTTAACACAAGGCATCCGCTTGCAGTTTGTAAAGCAGCGCCAGCTGGCCCATTCATTAATTTGCGGTTTCGCACTTCCTCTTTCTTCGCTAGTGCTCGAGCGGTGAAACTGACTAAAGCGTGGCTGGGCAAGTTCCTAGCCATGCCGCGCTGGCTGAACCTGACAGTAGGTACCTATTTCTGTCAGGAAAAATAAAGCTCAGAATGAAGTGAGGTTGGCAAAGAACAACAAAAAAGCTTATGTTCAAAATTTAAGGAAGAGACAAGAATTCATATAGCAGCTGCTCAGAGGAGAATAGAAAATAGAAACAGGAGACAAAAATAAGGAAGAGCAGGGCATCAGTCACTGGCTTCAGATTGGTGGGTGATCACACAACCAAAATCCTCCCCCTTTTTAACTTGTAAAGTTGCACTCATTGCAACTTCAATTATTCAGTCGTGCCTGCCATTTTAAAGCCAGTGACAGCTGCTGTGGATACCACTGGGGAGAGCTAGACAATTTTTATTTTTCTTCAATCTTCTCCACAAGAAGAGAGAGTGCTCCACCAGGTAACTCCAAAGATCAGGATTGAAGCTTGAGATAGAAAGAAACATGGTCAGGGAATGTATTTATTTTGAAAGAGTTTAAATCTCCAAGTGAATAGCATCTAGGGTCCTGAAGAAACTGGGTAGTCTTCAAAGTGGGTGGGGTGGGGAGAGGATGATCCAAAAAACAATGGGCCAGTTACTCTGACACTATAATCCTCAGGAAGACTATGGAGGAGGTCATAATGACATTGATTTGTAACAGCTTGGAAACAATTATTAGTAGAAACCAGCATGGACTTGTCAGGAGCCAGTTTTAGAAGACTAATATCTCATTTTTTAATATATTAACTTCCGTAGTAAATTGTGGGAATGCTGCAGACATAGTATTAGCAGGTTAGTTCTGGACTAGATGGCATGATATACAACTGGTTTGAAATGTGTACTTATATAATATTCCTCATCAATTGGAGTGAGATGTTGAATCACTTCTGGGCCCTGTACTGTACTGTGCAATATTTTTTAATTGATAACTTGGATAAAGAGATGGAAGGAATGCTTATCAGATTTACAGTTGACACAAAATTGGGTTGTATAGGTAATATTCTAGAAAAGAGAAATAATATTTAAAACAGTCTTGATAGGTTAGAAAAATAGGCTGAAAAGAACTGGATGAAATTTAACAGAGACAAGTGCAAAGTTCTTCCCTTAAGGATGATGACCTAGCTTAATAACAATGCTTTCGAAAAAGATCTTTGTTCTTAAGAAACTGAATATAAATTAGTGTGATGTGCTTACGAAATGCAGTTTTAGGTTGCATCAAAAGAAGTAAAGTTTCCAAGTTCCAGGAAGAAAATGTTCCACTTTATTCAACTTTGATCAGACCCTACTTTAAATATGGTTTCCAGGTTTGGAAACTACTGTTTCAGAAAGATTCAGTCAAGTTTGGAAGGTTCACAGAGAGTTGAAAAGGATGATCAGGGGACTAAAATCTAAGTCTTATGAAGAGAGAATGAACAATCTGATTGACATTTAGTTTTAAGAGAAGACTGAAGTGGATATGGTAACACTCTTCAAATACCTGTTCTTCATCATTTCAGGATGGTAAACAGAGCACAATGGATGTAATGTCCAGGAAGGGAGATTACAATTGAATGTTTAAGAAATTTCCTAATAGTAAGAGAAGTTCAACAGTGGAATCAATTACCCAGAGAGGCTAGAAAGTCATCTGTATGAGATGCTTTACTTTGGATTCCTACACTGAGCTGGTAGTAGATTTGTTGGCCAAATGGCCTCTTCCAACTCCATGAATCTAAGCTCCCCCCCACCCCCAAGAATTGATTTCTGGACCTGTAATAACTAGAATATTGGGATTGCTCTAATACACAGAGACACACACACACCACCTCTCTGTTTATAGAATAGTATATCATTGCAATGTTTTATAAACATTAGCTCTAACTGATATATAGCATGGGTGTTATCTCCTGAAGCACATGCCTTAAGGGGTAACAGTTCTTTTCCGTTGACCTGTTCTGACAAAATCCTGGTAACATCTTATTCTCCCCCCCCCCCTTTTGTTGTTTTTGTTAGAAGGAGGTTGTATGTGTATTTCTGTATGTAACAGTATAGGTAGTCCTCAACTTACAACCATTTGTTCAGTAACTGTTCAAAGTTACGACGGTGCTGAAAAAGAAGACTTATGACCAGTCCTTGAAGTTGTGGCCATCCCAGCACCCCCACAATCACGTGATTGTGATCTGGGTGCTTGGCAACCCATTCGCACTTATGACCAGTTGCCAAGTGTCCTGCAATCATGATTGCCATTTGTAACCTTCTATGCCAGCTTCCTCAGAAAGTCAAAGGGGAAGCCGGCAGGGAAGATTGCAAGTTGCTGGGGAAGACTGCAATTTTCCCCAACCTGCACACCCTCCCCCAGCCCCTCTGCACTCATGCTCCACACACCCTCCCCGACCTGCGCAGCACCACTCATGCACCCCCACACATCCTCCCCGACCCACATGGCGCATCTCGAGTACTCTTGAGATCCACACACCCTCCATGCACCCTCCCTGACCCGCACAAGTGCTTCTCACACACCCTCATGCACTCTCCCTGACCCTCCCCCATACCCCCACTCACCCTCTCACTCCCCCACCTGGCAGCAGCCACTGACCTGCCTATGGGCCTGGAACTTGCAACTTCCTGCCGGCTTCCCCACTGACTTTGAACGTAACTGGGACTGCAGGGATTGCTGTTGCTAAGTAGAGGACTACCTCTATGTGAAAAGGGGGGATTAATTTCATAAATGGGACACTTTTTACAGATAATTATTTTTAATCAGTCAATTCAATTAATATCAATTCATTTTTGTCTTGGCCCCACTCTTTGTTGGACTCCAGCTTTTGGCAGATATATGCATGAACATATAAAAGTATATCAGGAATACATTGATTTTTGGGTCAAAATTCAGGGTCATGTTCCTTATGGTAAATACAGTAGTGTTCCCTAGTGGTTGCTGATTTGAAAATGTGAAGAAGGGTTGGGCTTTTTAGATCTAAAACATCTTTTGTGTTGATCTCTGCTCATTTCCAACCCCATTTCCTTGTTATGCTTTCTCATGCCAGGAAAACCGCTTTTGATAGCAAGAGTTAGCAAAGAATGGAAAAGAGAATCTAAGCATCCTCTTGTCATGATAGTCTCTGTGCTCTTTTAGTTAAATTTCTTAACTATATCATTTTTGTTCAGTTTTAATCTCCACTTTCTCCCTTTGCTACCCACAGCTTGGCTTTACATCCAAGGAAAGATATTGTTGTCACTGGAAGCGATGATCGCTTATGGAAAATGTGGGCCTTTCCGAATGGGAACATTATCATGAAAGGTGAAGGCCATACTGATTGGCTTTCTGGATGCTGCTTCCATCCAAGGTGAGTAAAAATAGTGTTGGAAACCAGCATTGATTCTTTCAGACTTTAATCTATTAAAATTGATTACTTTCAGTACATCATAAACTTTCGTCCACAGCCTTGTATATCAGATTTCCAGGTCTCATCTAATTTAATCTTTTAGTCTTATACATGTTACAGAGATACATGTTAATTTCTTATTTTAATGTCAATTTTATTTTTGTCATTGATATTTTCCGCAGTCTACCCAGAGAAAATTGTGTTATTTCTCTCTCAATAGTATATCAGCAATCATTCAAGATATTGATGCTTAGAATGTAATTGTTTCACTATCATTATAAATCAAAGAAGAAATATAATGTTACTTTGGAAAAGCAGACTTTATTTCTTTAGTTCAGAAGGTAACACAGTGTGTTATATGATTTGGGGGAAAACTCTCCTTTGTACTGTTCACATATATGTATTGGGATACATCCGCATACTTAGGATGTGGTGGCTTGAGTCTCCACTGATCCACACAAGGCATCTCCACACCTTCATTCCTGTGCAGAGCTGAATTTGCTGTTACCAGCCAGAAATCATCCCCGCTAGTTATTTATCCATGAGGATGTAAGAGACAACTCCCTTTCTTCCATAGCTTGACTGGGTGGGAGGTGTGTCAGATCCCTTTCTTGGAGTGAACGCCACTGATTCACTAAGAATATTGAATCTTTTTTACTAAAGCAAGGTCAAAGACCTAGAAGAAAATTTAAAAGGAAAAAAAAGGAAAAGGAATAAACAATTGTAGGAAAAGGCTGGTTAGCGGCTCCCTCTAGGTTCTCAAACAAGCATATGCACCAGAACAAATTTACACAACCCAGATTTCAATCCATAAAATAAAATATTATCTGTACTGCAACAAGCTTCTCTGATCCTAGCTTGCTGTCCAAAATCACTAAATGCCTGCCTGGTTGCTATCAGCTGGAGCTTTTCTCTTACTTAGCTTGCAACAAGCCTCCAAGGAGGAAAACACAAATACACTGAGACAAATATAAAATTAAGACTGTCCTTCCCTTTTGTAAAGCCCTCCTGAGAGGGGAAAACCACTCTCTTGGTTGTCCCCTCAGCATTTAATTTTCATGGGCTTCAGATTTTCTACTCATTACCACATTACACATGAGCTACTTTCCTTTAATGTTTTCAGTGTCTGAACCTCCTGAAATGGAATTTCCTCATTTTCAGCACAATATACCCTCTGGATTATTGTGGGTTTTTCCCCCCCAACTTAAAAAAGGTACAGTCCCTTGAATTCAATTCTTAGATGCTGTTTACAACACTGTGGAAGCCATCTGCATTCTTCCAGAAAGTTTTTTCAACTTCCCACAGGCCTACAATCCTAAAACACTCTGGTAGACTCCCATCCAGGTATCAGTCAGATCCAATTCTGTTTAGTTATTTTGAGGTAAGATGAAGTTGGCTTTCACTTTTAATTTATTATCTTTATTAAGTTGGATGTGTGAATGATCTGTCAGCAAAAAACTATATCATCAGAAGAGAGAATTTATATTGTACTCTGGTGCAAGAATACTGAATAGCAATTCATATATTTTTGTTAAAAAAAGCTATTTTCATGGAAGATTATAGTACAAGTATGCAGATAAGAGTTTGGACATTTCTATATGTTCTTGCTTTCTGTCTCTCACAAACATGAGATGGAAAGAAGAACTTCTTCAGTCTCCTCCTGTCCAATCTTCTGCTTCCTTTTTTTGGTCTGTTTCTTTGGCAAGAGCTTCTGCTACTACTCCACTAAACTCGCCAAACTATTTTTCTTTTTCCTTCTGTGCTGAGACTTTAAAGCAGTGTTATATATGACAGCAGCAGTAGCCAGACCTATTACCTCTGAAAGGAATACCTTGTTACTTTAAAAGAGTTTAAATCCCCTGGGTCAGATGAATTGCATCCTAGGTGAGATTTTATCAACTTTTATAGAGGTGTCAAGTGGGATAGCACAAGGAAGAGTTTTAGATCCTCTTCTTTTCAGTATAGGTTGGAATAATATGCTGGAGGTAACAAAATGAAATTTAACAGAGACAAGTGCAAAGTTCTTTGTTTATGAAACAAAAATCAAATGCACCAATATAAGGAGTTGGATACCTGGCTTGGTAATAATACTGTAATAATATTACAAGGTTTGGTAATAGTACTTGTGAAAAAAATCTTGGAATAGTTTAAAGTCCCACAACAAGATGAACTGCATCCTAGGTAACTAACAGAACTAGCAGATGGTCAGGCTGAATCCTTAAGTATTATCTTTGAGAAATTCTAGTAAACTGTAAGATAACTGTTTTTAATGGTTGGGACATGGTAGTAAGAGGTGCTGAGTCCCATAGAGAGAAGGTGCATACAGCCCTCGTTGGGACTGGCAACTCAGTTGTTAAATGAAGCAATTACTAAGTCAAACTGCGACTGTGCTTATGATTTACTTCAGCTTTCCTTTGCTTTACAGACCTGTGAAGGTCTTAAATGTGAGGACTGGTTGCAAAGTTACTTTTTCATCACCATTGTAACTGTGAATAGTCACTAAATGAGTCAGTCATTAAACAAGAACTACCTGTAGAACCTCTCTACTTTCTGAGATTTCTGGAATTTGTAGCTATAATTCCTCTTTTAATTTTGAGTCTGATTTTGCTCACATAAGAATTCCTTGAAGTATAAGGAGAAGGAGGAGGTACCGCACAGTAAGACTTGCAAGATTCTGTTATTTATGGCCAAACTCCATAACAATAGTTTTAGCCTTTCCATGGAATTGATTTCCTGGTCCGATCTACCTAGTAGGGTTGGTTGACAGCCAGACAACCCAACTACATTTTCCTCGTTTTACATTTGGCATTCCAATCTCCAACCACAATTAGCATATCTTGCTTGCATGTTCTGTCAATTTGAAATTGAAGCAGCTCATAACTCATCAACCTCTTCTTCTGCATCATGGGTTGGAGCAAAAACTTGGATAATTCTCATATTAAAGGGTTGTCCATGAAGTCTAATTAATATTATTTGATCATTGGTTGCATTGTAGCCAAGTATTATTCTTGCATCCCTCCTGACTATGAAAGCAACACTATTCTTTCTTTGTTTTTCATGTCCTGAGTGGCAAACAGTGTGATCTTCTGACTGAAAGTGTCCAATTCCAGTCCATCTCAATGCCTAAGATGTCAATGTATAATTAATTCTTTTCATCTTTCACTGTGTTGAACTTTCCTGTGTTCATTCTTCTTACATTCCAAGTTCCCACTGTAATTCTGTCTTTGCAGCTTCGGATTTTCTTTTTCTGCATGGCAACATCAGCAATTAGAATGGAATGTAAGAAGCATGAAAGGCTTTAATCTAGCCACATCCTAAACACCATTACTACTCAGAAAGATTCCTCAGTAGCACATTGAGTGCTATCCAGCCTGAGGGGCCCAATATGCAGCACTATATTGCCAGTCATTTTATATTTTCTATCCATGTGGTTTTCTTGGTAAAATACAGGCATAGTTTACTACTGACTTCTTCTGTACAGTATGAAATGATGCTTTTGCTGTTGTCACTAAAGTGATCTTCAACCTCCAGCATCTTCCTATTTTGCTGTTGCCCAGTATAGCTGCCTGCTTGCTTTAGCTGGGCAGCTGGAATAATCTTCCTGCCTTGGGTGACCATGCTGGGATTATATACCCTTGTCATACACTCCTGGCATTTTTCACTCATCCCTTCCAAGAAGACCTGCAGCACGATGAGACAGCAGAGCAGCACTTGGGTAGTAGGGGGGTGGGTTATATATTAATATATTAATATGTGTCTGTGTGCAAATATATAAATTATATAATCATCAATCTGAATCAATCCCCTGCAGGATGAAGGTCTCTTCATTGAAGGTTATGGACTGTAACTTAGCTCCTAGTCCAGCACCTTAACCAATATATCACACTGGCTCTCATATATATCCATCCTTAGCATCGCATATCTGTTTGTGATATCAGTCATTTTCAAAGCACACACATACATAGTTCTTAGAATGCCTTGAGAGTAATAGCTTAAGAGTAGAAGTTTAATAAATGGGATAAAGGGAAGATACTTACATATTAGCTATAGTATGGTCATACGGGAGTAGTTTGAAGTAGTTGGAGATCTAGGAACAAATGAGATCTTCTATCTCGTCTCACTTCAATGGGGATGGGAGAACAAGCTCCATAATGTTTTAAATATTTTAGATATACTAGATTTACAAAACTAGTTCATCATCCCAAAAGAGAGAGAGGGAGGTAGAAAGCAATTGATTTCTTTACAAATCACATCTTTACAAAACAGTGGAGAACTCCACTTCAGTGGAGAACTGAAGACAATAATTCATGCCTTTGTCACCTCTCTGCAGCTTGCTTTACTTGGTGTAGCCCTTGAAGGTGACTTGGAATCTACACCTGAGACAGAATGTGGTGGCCCACTTGCTGAATGGTATTAGCTAGTTTAACAGAATAGTACCTCTTATGTGGGAACTGCTCTGATTGACAGTAGGCTTCCAGGACCAATTCAAGAGGCTAGTGATACAGTTCCTTACAGTTTGGATCCTTGTTCCCTCAGGACTGTCTTCTCCATGCCTAACTTACATGATCTCATAGGGAGAGGATGCTCTGGGTGCTCACCATAAAAGAAAGCATGGAGACTGGGACCTAAATATGGACTTTCTTAATAGTAGCCCCTTCTCTCTGGAACACCTTCTCCCTACCCCCCCCCCCCAACCTGGTAATGTTTCAGAAGATGATTAAAACAGTCCTCTTTCAGAGAGCATTCAAACTCATTTGAGCCAGTGATGGGTTTATTTGTAGTTTTTAATAGTTTTGCTTATTATTTATTGGTTTTATGAAGGGATTTTATTGTTTTTGTTGGTATTTTATCTCGTATGTTATAAACTACCTGGAATCAGAAGACTTGGTGGCATATAAATTTTGGCAAATAAATACATTCCTTTTTTAACATTATGGTACACATAATATTTTCTTCTAGTTACATCTTTCTGTAATAGCTGAGATCAGTATTTCTACATAGATGTTTAGTTTTAAATATAGCAAAGAACTTTAGAATGAATTGCCTAAAGTCTGAGAAGCACTTTTTCTCCACTGGTCTGTTAGAACTGGTGATGATCACCTTTTAATGATCATGTTTATGAAATATGTAAGTTAGAAGAACACTGAATACAGGTCGTCCCTGGGTTAAGAACACCCGGTTTACAGATGACCCATAGTTAAGAACTATTGTAGCAAAATTCGAGTTAAATACACAATGATTTGAGTTAAATGCACAATGATTTGAGTTAAATACACAATGGTTCAAGTTGATTACTCAATACTACTTATACAGTATTATACAATAATACTGTTCTGGCTTACATACAAATTCAACTTAAGGACAGACCTTGGGAATGGAACTCACTGGGGACTATCTGTAGACAGTTTTCAAAAATATGTTACTATTGTCAGATTCAGCCTGCACAGCATGGCCAATGCCGCTGTTCAGTTTCATCGCCCCTAGTCAATTTCACCACCTCAGGCCAGGCAGCAGAAAAGAGGAAGTCAAGTTAATTGCCAGCAGGTGGCAGCAATTGACTCAGGGCAGGAGCGGATACTTTGTATCACAGCCGGCTTCCCTTGAGCGCCCCAGGCAACCGCAAGGCTCAGAAGCGCAGCAATCGGCAAGCAATTAAGGAGCCCTGGCTTAACCTGCAGAAGAAAAGCCCAACGAACTCAACAACCCCACAAACAAAGGACAGCAATCAGGGAAACACGGCTGAATCTGCCATTTGGGCGAGGGAAAGAATGCCGCGGGCAACCAGTAACCCAGGCAACAGGGAGAAGGGCGGGAAAAAGGGGATAACTCCGGATCAAGGAGGGAACCCTATAAAACCGCTGTATGTAACCGCACGAAACCAACCCTTGCTTTGCTGAGTAAACTTCTTTAACTGAACCTGTGTTTCGCAAGAGTTTCATTCGGCGCTGAATGTGGTAACTCTTACAACTGTACATCCCTGAATGGAGTAGGAAGTTCAACTCGGTGATCTAAATCACCTTCTATGATTCTATGACTAATCTTCCTCTGTGAATGTATAAGTAATACAATAAAGATTATTCTTATTTATGAAATACCAGAAAGCATTTTTTTCCTTCAAAATATTAAAAATGCATTAAGCTGAAGAATATGATAAGGAAAATAAGGGGTTTTCAGTATCAGTTGAAGGCTAGAAATTCTAAACTGCTGTAAGATTCCTTTGGGAAAATGCCTAATCATAGTTTTCATACAGACTAATGAATTTAACTCTCAGCTTCTATTAAATTGATCAGATTTCTATTACACTCTTCTATGAAATATCTTATGTAATAATAGTAATACATGAAGATGGATAGGCAGGTGTGGTTAACTAGATATAGATTTTTTTCTTTATTTTTCCAATTTATTGGACAAGTAGTTTCTGAGGGGAGTACTGACATTGTTGAGAATTTAATTCTGTGATGGAAATAAATTTCAAACATTAAAAACAATAATTTCGTATATACTGTATTAAAAATGTGCTTACTTAAAACTATTACACATTTTAAGTAGAAAAATTACTTTACTTCTGAAAGCCTAGCTTTAAAAAATGGAACCAGTCCTGCCCTATATATTACTGGGATCATACTGTAGCCTGAATTCCTCTTTGATCATGTTCATTATATTTTGTTTCCACCTTATTCCACTTTGTTATTAACTCAGTACTTAAACAAGAATAGAGAACCTTTTCCACAGCTTCCAATCAACTGGAAGTATACTGAACATTCTTATAAAGTATTATGTTTCTTAGAACATTTTAAAGTAATATATAAATAGTAATAATAATACTAGTAGTATAGAAAATAGAGACTTTTATCATATTGGCTTGGGAAATCTAGCTGAACAGCTGTGTAAGAACTTTCCTGTGCAAATCAGATTTCTTTTTTTCAATGACAGTGGAACCAAACTGGTTACTTCAAGTGGAGACACAACAGTTCGCATATGGGACTTCACAAAGGGCGGCTGCATTCTGACATTAGAAGGTCATAGCTATGCAGTGTGGGACTGTTCCTGGCATTCATGTGGCAATTTTGTGGCATCTGCATCTATGGATAAAACAAGCAAAGTTTGGGACCTGAACAGGTATGTGACTGTTTATAACCTGCTAATTTATTTTTTTATGTGTGAATTTAAACAAGTAGAGAAAAGAGTGGAGTTTTTAGACAAAACAAACAATAATTTAGAAAGCCAGTTTGGTGCAGTGGTTAAGGCATTAGGCTAGAAACTAGAAGACCATGAGTTCTAGTCCCACCTTAGGCACAAAGCCAGCTGGGTGACCTTGGAGCCAGTAGCTCTCTCTCAGCCCTAGGAAGGAGGGAAGGGAAAGCCACTTCCAAAATCTTGCCAAGAAAACTGCAGGGACCAGTCCAGGCAGTCACTGGAGTCAAAAACTGACTTAAAGGGACAAAAAATATATATTAATAATAATTGAATGTAGCTATTCTATCCTTAAATGAAACAAGCACATTTATGTCAACTTAAGAAATAACTGCTAGGTACTTAAGTAAATGAGCAGAACAAAAATGGATGGATGCTCAGACTCTATCTGATAATCCTGTCCTGCCCCAGTTCCCCAATCACATGGCAGGGACAGATTAGTTTGACAGAAGTCAGAACTGCTTGATTGCAAAAGGAATTAGAAGAGAATGTGGGATGTTGTACGTTGCCCATCAGTGCAAGGAAAACCACAATTTATTGTATCTTATTGGCTTATTAAAATAATTACTTTGCAAAGGCCATTTTGATTGTCATGCATATTTTATTGCCCATTTACTGAGCTCAGTATTCAAGATCTATGCAGAACAATACTATGTATTTTGATTACTCCTGATTTTCTCTAATGTAAACTGCTTTTGTTACCATAATATATCTGAGAAGCAGAACCTTTTGTAAGTATCTTACTTCTTTTATGTCTTGTATTTCAGTTCAGTAATATATTGAAAAATACCATAATTTTGCCACTTTTTGTTGTTGTTAGTTTCTGAATTATGTAATAATGGCACTCATTCAATTGTGCAGATGTGATACTTTAGGTTGACTTATAATGCTGGTATACAGCCCTAGGTTGTGAAACTGAGAATAATCATAGTGTTCCATCCTGCTTCTTTATTTTCTCCCTATATAAGTCATAACTTATATAAATCGTAACTTATATGACTGGCTCTTAAAAACATGTTCATTTTTTAAATTTGCTGTTCATATGATTGACACCTTATATACTTTTCCTATGATCAGAAAGAAGGCTTCTTAATTTTCATCAAATGTATTGGTTTGATCTTGGATTGTAAATTAATAAGTAATAATAGTAATAATAATATCAAATGTAGTTCTAATGCATTTGTCTGCAAGAAAGATTAGGAGTTTTCCCCCTAAAAATATTATCTTTAAAACAAAGATATGGGAATATGGTAATAGAGGCAGACAAGGTAATTTCAGTCTAATCTTCTCTTTTTGAGGGAGATTGTTTTATATTCCAGGTTATCTACCTTTTAAAAGCTATTGCTGGACAATAATGCTTCAGACAATAGTGGAATAAGAGGAACATATTTGAATCCCACCCCTTCATACATACAGTGCATTAAGACATAATGTAATCCTACATTTTGCAATTAGATGTTTGGGAATCCATGTGCCATGAACAGGAGCTCTTATTCTTCCCTTCCTCTACCATGTTTCCTGGTTCCCCCCTACATAGAACTAGACAGGTTTGACACTTGCAAAGTACATTGCCCATATCTAGACAACTGCCCGTTCATAGACCACCCTTTAGTGCACTATTCATGTATTTTACCTTAAACCTCCCCTTCCCCCATATTAGATCCCAAAAAGGTTTGTTTGTTTGTTTGTTTGTTTGTTTGATATTAAGGCTATGTGTATCTTCAAAGGGGCATTTTGTTTGGTGGGATATTCAAGCAAAATTCCTCTTCAAAATTTTGCCACAAAGCAAGGCAATGCCCCATTTCTAACAAGAGGAATAGCTGGCCATTTGGTTTCACTCATTTATCAGTGGCCTACGAGCATGCATGATAGCCACAGTTAGCAAGATGGATTGGCCAGCTGAGACCAATTAGCTCTACTTTGATGTTTTGTCAAGGAGAAGCAATGTGCCCCCAAAACGTATTTCCCTGTTGTAAGTGTGCCACATCTAAACAGATTGCCTATGATCTGTACTCCCCTAGTAAATATACGCACAAACCTTGCACACAGCCCACTTGTACTGTGTCACCTAGAATTTTCAATTGAAACTGAAACTACAGGTATTCCTGAATATTCTTTACCTCAGCAGATGTATGGATGTGACTCACTTCTACATGTGGATGCATACATGCAGACAGAGACTACATTCCACCCCTCATGTACACAAAAGAAGCAAAATAAAAATTAAAGAAATATTAATTGAATTAAAGGGTACTGATTAAAATTATTTGCCTTGCTGGTATATTAAGGCATATAATTTGTAAAATGCATTGGTCCTCTATTTGAATGCAGAGGAGCTTCCATCATGAAAACAGTGTGACACATTTTGATGAAATCAATAGATCCTGTGGATCCTCTGGGTCATATGACTGGGAGGGAGAGTTAAAACAGAGGAGTCAGCAACATTCTGAGCTGCTGCCCAACTGGATCTCCTATAAAGTTGCATTGGGGGATTTTTTTTTCTGGATTCTTTTTCTCCACAGACCCCAGGCTGTCTTTGAACTTGATTTTGCTGGCTTCTCTCTCCACACCAAATTTGATCCTGTTCTATTCAGTTTTTTTAGGGTGATCCCATTGAAGATCCATATCCAATGTTCTGACTTCAGTACTTTATGACCCACTGACCACAAGGTGTCAATAGGGAGAAATAGATTTACTGTGCCCCCTCTCTGTCTATCACTTTGCCTGCTCTTTGTCTATTAGATTGCTAATTGGAGGGTATCACCTTCTGCCCTTCTTCACAGCCATGCATCCACAGAGCACATGCTCTTTTGACTCTCCTCAATAGGATATAAGCTTTGCCTATTTCTATAATGTATTACTTGTAAATAAATCACTGTGCTCTTATAACTATAAAAGCTGCTTCACTTCATTGCTTTATTGCCCAGATTAGATTCCTGATCTCAGGAACGCTCATTCACATAGTCAGAATACTTCAAACTTCAATAAATCCAGCCCCTTTGCCCTGCATCTTTTCAACATTCTCTTGGATTGAAACAATAACAAGTTAGGAAAGATCTGAAGAGCTTGGCTTCTGGAATTCTTTCCAAGCCTTTTACGGGTTATGGCCACAAGAGGCATGGCCATATGTTTGTGTGTATGAGTGTGCACTGACTCCCTAGGATGTGTTTCTATATGTATATGTATATTTGACTCCCTATATGTGTGTATATGTATATTTGTTGGTGTATTGGTACATGTGTATGTATGTGTTTGTATGAGAAAAAGAGAGGTGGGTGCATACCTAATCAGGGTGGGTGCATACTGGTTGCCTCTTTGCCCAACTCAAGATGATTTATATTTGAAGAATTTTGTACTCTCTTAGTATTCTAATTTTGCTTTGTTGTCTGTTACCAATTTACTACTTTCTCTGAGCAGCTGGAATATTTTTTTTCCTCTTCTTTTTAATCTGAATGCTTTGGAGAAAAGTTTTTTTTATTATTTAGCTTTCTGGCCACCACCTATATAAATCTGTATATGCTCTTTCATGATGACCAGTTTACATTGCTTTTATATGTCTTTTTTTGGCTTTGGATCTATAGCAGTTTTTTGTTTGCGGACATGCTGTCTTTTTCTGCTGTCTTCCTCTGCCCCCACTTGTGTTTTTAAAACCTTCTATTTTAGGAACTCCCACTCACTGTGAGCTTATTTTCCATTTTTTTAAAAAACTTTTACTAAAGTATATAAAAAGTACAATTAAAATACAAATCAGAAAATATAGAAAAGAGGGAAGATAGAACTAAAAGAAAAAGATAAAAACTAAAAAGGTGGGATCAAATAGAAAGATAAAATAAGAAGTGACTTCCGACTATCTCCAATACAGATATAAGTACAAATTTTTAAAAAGTTAAAATCTTACCACTATTTAATCCTAATTCACATTATTTCTATCAACACAAACCATCTAATCATTAAACCCCACAATCAAAGCTTCATTTTTTCCTGACCCAAGCATGCAGTCTAGGAAGGGTTGCCATGAGGAAACAAATTTAGAAACAGTATTATCTCTTATTAAGGCTGTTAACTTCGCCATTTGAGCCAAGCCCCTTAATTTAATAGTCCATTCTTCCACTGTAGGTATTTGTGAGTCTTTCCATCGTTGCGTATGTAACAGTCTTGCAGCTGTGGTCATATATAGATGCAAAGTTCCATGTTGTTTCTCCAATCCTTTCCCCATCAAACCCAGTAAGAACAGTTCTGGTTTTTTTTTAATATCCACTTTAAGAATTTTTTGAATAACATTGCATATCTGGTCCCAGAATTTTTTAGCCTTTTCACAAGTCCACCAAAGATGTTAAAAAATTCCTTCACCCTGTGTACATTTCCAACAAACATTTATTACACCAGTATACATTTTTGATAACTTATCAGGATTTAAATACCAGCAGTACATCATTTTATAAAAGTTCTCTTTTAAGTTATAGTTCAACGTAAATTTCAAACCTTTGTTCCACATATTTTCCCATTGCTCCAACATGATATTGTATCCAAAATTTTTGGCCCATTTAATCATACAATCCTTGACTTGTTCATCTTCTAAATTCATCTGCAACAACACATGCTCATCATTTGTACAAAGTTGAGTCTCAAAATAAGATATTTCATTAACAAATCTATAATTCTTTTTATCCAACTTAAAACGTTCAAACAATTGCATATGAGTAAATCAGTGACATGTAAAGCTTCTAATTCTAACTGTTCTCTTGTTTTGAAACTTGATTCACCCTCCTCAAAATTTAATAAATCTTTATATTTTAACCACTTCATTTCTCCCACATTT